CCTCGTGCCAGTTCCTGGAATTTTGATGACGTCAAATTCCAAGAATTCCCGGGCGGGATTTTTGAAATTTCAGCAACCAATTTTGGAAATTTGTATCAGGAGAACATGAGTTGCGAGGAGGTATCCCTCGTACCACTTCTTGGAATTTTGATGACGTCAAATTCCAGGAATTCTCATGTTCTCTTGATACAAATTCTCTCTTTCGAATATGTAAATTTTTTTTTTGTTGGGTTTGTAGGTAACAATAATTACACAATGATTGTTGATAAATTTTTCTTTATTTTCACCACTTTTCATACAGCGCATAACTTAACTAAACTTATTGTTTAATCACTTAATTACTAATATATAATGCAATTTACAGTATTTCGACTTATTATAGTATGCTGTACATTTCTATACAAACTAATAATTAATTGACAAGTACAAGGTACATTTAAACAATCTTATTGAAATATACAATTGTATTTCATAATACATACAATTCTCACATTTTCTATTATAAATTATAAATACAATTCTACAATAATTTATCTTAATTAGAACAGCTTGTATTGTTGTCCAAATTTACAACAATACAAATTAAAAAATACAATAAATACGACAATACAAATACATTATATATTTCCGCATGTATACATCTCTAGTTTCTTTACAATAACTTGTTCTCTGATACAATTCACAGTATTTTCTAAATTATGCAGTTATCTTATAATAATCTATGTTTATAAACGTATACATGGATTCGTAATTGAAACGTGATGTACAAAAAAACCCTATCCTAATCTAATAAATAAAATATACAATTTGTACGATTATTGCACTACAGTCGTGGTCACTATGCTCGCTCAAAAATATAAAAATTAAGTTCCCATGTCGTTTTGGACCATGCGTCCTATACATGTGTCTTGTATGATGGAAGCGAAGGAACTGGAGGAAGCGATCGCTGACTCGCACCACTCAACTCGTTTTTAATAAAAATCTTCGTTTGATTTTGTACACGATATCCACAAATACCTGTAACAGAAAAACAATTTATATAAATATAATTAAAACACAGATTCTAAGCACTAACATTCAGTTATAAAATATGTGTACTAATTTATAGACTATTTAATAATATAAACTAATACTAATTTTCTAAAACTAAGGAGACAAATATTAATAAATAAATTTACACTAATTCTGTCATTTATACTATTATATAATTATACAATACGGTGGGGTCAAATTTGGTCCTATTAAAAGGACCAATTTAAAGTACAAACCGTATAGGTACAAATTATCCAATGAATTCACTTATCATTTCTTAGTGCAAAGAACGTTTCAATAATATATGAGATGAAAAATTATGAGACAACGTTAATTTCTGCATTATTAAGTCATGGTAATTAAGGGTTGAGTTTATGGTTTCTAATAAGGCGAACGTACGACCTTCACTACACCAATTTCCCCGAAACTTGGCATAATTATAGGGAACCCTACAAGTAATAATTTTGCAAAATTATTGGACCTGTTTTCAGAAATAAAACAGAAATTCGCATTAAATTTTTCTTAATTTCTATTTAATTAACACAAAATTCAAAGATTTGAATATTTGAATACTGATATGAATATTTGAACATTGACAAGTTTGACAATTTACAAATATAGAAATTTGAAAAATTGAAACTTTGAAAATGTATAAATCTGAAAATTTTGTTCTTTAATTTAGTAATTTGGAATTATGAAATTTAGGTAATTTGAGAACCAACAAGTTCAAGATTAGAAAATGTAAAAATTTAAGAAGTGTGAAGTTGCAACTCTGACAATTTAAAAATTTGAAAATTTAACAACACATTTGGCGAATTGAAAATTTGAAAATTCAAAAGATCGAGAATTCGAAAATTAAGAAATTCAGAAATTTGGAAATTTGTGAGTTTGGAAATTTGAGAGCTTGGAAATTCAGAAATTTGGAAATTTGAGAACTTAGAAATTTGAGAATTTGGAAATTTGAGAGTTTGGAAATTTGAGAGCTTGGAAATTTGCGAATTTGGAAATTTGGGAGTTTGGAAATTTGAGAGCTTGGAAATTTGCGAATTTGGAAATTTGGGAGTTTGAAAACTTGGGAGGTTGGAAATTTGAGAGTTTGGAAATTTGAGAGCTTGGAAATTTGCAAATTTGGAAATTTGGGAGTTTGGAAATTTGAGAGTTTGGAAATTTGCGAATTTGGAAATTTGGGAGTATAGAAATTTGGGAGTTTGAAAACTTGAGAGCTTAGAAATTTGAGAGTTTGGAAATTTGCGAATTTGGATTCGAGAATTCGAAAATTAAGAAATTCAGAAATTTGGAAATTTGTGAGTTTGGAAATTTGAGAGCTTGGAAATTTGCGAATTTGGAAATTTGAGAGCTTGGAAATTTGCGAATTTGGAAATTTGAGAATTTGCAAATTTAAGAATTTGTAAATTTGAGAATTTGGAAATTTAAGAGCTTGGAAATTTGAGAATTTGCAAATTTGGTAATTAAAAACCAAAAATCAAAAGTGAAAAATTAAACTTGAATGAAAAACTATATTAAATTGCAAAATTATTATTTTTGCCCTTTAACCATGTCAATAAAATGATTACTTTTCGAATTTCCTATAATCGTGTTGCCTGGGACAAATCCATCGTATTGAACAGAGATAACATCATAATAAGAGAAATTTCATAATCTGCCCTGTACTAACAAATTGCAATTAACTAGTAATCAAGTTAACCGTTAACGGGTAGAACGAGGTCGGATCTAGCAGATGGGGAAATTTATATCAAAGTGCTCACCGACGCATGACTAATTAAACTTTGTTAGATTGACTAAGTTTAATTAACGTAAATTCGCGTGAAACAAAATTATCGTCGATGTGAATATTTTTACGTATTTGTTTTTTATAACCTCTATTCTACGCAGTTCCATGGTTAATTACGATGTTCTACGCCATTTTGTGCATGAAGAGAATAACCTCTACGAAAAGAAAATAAATTGAAACATATTAGACAAAATATATGACTTACATTATTCAATAGATCTTTTATTGACAAGAAAATATTCTATAAATATTTAAAGAAATTTTTTAGGACTAAAAATATTCTATAAATACTTCTAGAAATTTTCTAGAAACAAAAATATTCTAGAAATTATTTTGTTTCTTTATAGAATTAAAAATATTTTTTAGCAGAAAAAGAAAATAGATTGAAACTTATTAGACAAAATATTACTTACACTTATTCAATAGATCTTTCATTGACAAGAAAATATTCTATAAATATTTAAAGAAATTTTTTAGGACTAAAAATATTCTATAAATACTTCTAGAAATTTTCTAGAAACAAAAATATTCTAGAAATTATTTTGTTTCTTTATAGAATTAAAAATATTTTTTAGCAGAAAAAGAAAATAGATTGAAACTTATTAGACAAAATATTACTTACACTTATTCAATAGAGTTTTTATTAAAAAGAAAATATTCTATAAATATTTATAGAAATCTTTTAAGATTAAAAATATTCTATAAGTACTTCTAGAAATTTTCTGGAAATAAAAATATTCTAAAAATTATTTTGTTTCTTTTTAGAATTAAA